TACAGAATGATCGTCCTATATTTTGAAACTTAAAATGAATAATGAGAAGTGATATACATCACATCTTAAGATGAATGAAAAAGCAAAGAGGCAAATAACAATTGCTTTAGTTCCTTATTTCTCACTCCCTGTGATTAGAAGAGTGAACTTCTACACATCTGTACAGTGAATAATCATGCAGATTCAGGAAATACATTGATAGGATTCATCTAGGTTCATAAGCATCTTCTACTTCATAACAAAGCAACAATATGCTACCATACAATAGTATTAAAATGCAATGTAGTCTAATGTAAATTTAAGGTAAGTTCATTGAAGACATTTCCTTAATTTTTATCCTCATCATTTGTACTGAATAGTGGGAGATCTGGGTTGGCAGTAGTACTTGGGCAAGGGATCTTAAACATGAGCCAGAAGTGTGATACAGCTGCAAAAACAGTAAATGCTATCTGGGGATGCATTAATAGGAACACAGAGCCCAGATCACCGGAAGTAATTGTTCCATTTTACTCTGCTTTGGTCAGACCTCATTTGGAGTATTATGTGCAGTTCTTGGCACCCAAAAAGGGCAGTGAGAAACAGGTATAAGTTCAGAGGAGGGCTATCAGGAAACCAAGCTGTACAGGGAATGGTTAAAGGATCTGGGCACAGTGTACAGAAATGCTAACTTAGGAAGACTTAACAGTTGTCTTCAAATACCTAAAGAATTGTCACACAGAAGAAAGAGAAGAATTGTACTCTATTGTCCCAGAATAGAAATGTCCAGAGGGTTAAAAGTACAAGGACAGATGTTCAGGCTAAACATCAGGAGGAATGCTCTAAGAACTGTCAGCCTGGAGAACAGGCTGCTACATGAAGTAGTAAGTTTTCTGCCAAGAAGTTTTCCAATAGAGGCTGATGGTCATATGTCAGGCATACTCTAGTGCAAGGTTCCTCAACCTCAGCAACTTTAAAATGGGTGGACTTCAACTCCCAGAATTCCAATTTAAGATGGCTGGCTAGAGAATTCTGGGAGTTGAAGTCCACCCATCTTAAAGTTGCTGAGGTTGAGGAACCCTGCTCTAGTGGATCTTGCACTGAGCAGGGATTTGGCCTAGATAACTCTGATGATCCCTTTCAACTCCATGATTCTGCCCTGACGCATTTTTGTACTTTGAAAAGTACTCCCCCCAGCCCCAGTATTCTAATTATATAAATAAAAGCTTACGTTGTATCCAAGTAAACAGTATGAACTCTCCAACCACTCAGGAAAGGACAGCACTCCATAGAAGGATCTCCCCTAAAGTCGCCTGTATGTAATATTACTGTGCCATTTGGAAGGGAGAAAAGGATCATTGCAGCACCAGGACAACTGCCAAAAGAATGAATGAAGAGAGAAAGTGAAGGAGAAAAGACATTTTGAATTCAAAATCAAAACAACCATTTTTGGCTCCAATTAATAAAATAATTTTAATTACTATACAGTACATTGACTTTATCAAAAATACTTACTGATTAGCATCAAGCAACACTACTTTGATGCCATTTATTATACATTCTCTATCCATTGGCAGGATATGGACATATTGCTCTTGCACTCCCAGTTTATTCTTTACCAAGTTTCCAGTTATCTAAAGGACAAAAAGTGTTTTGCAGCTATTTACACCTGTTGTATCAATTTCATTAGGTGCTAATTACAAGAACTCTTAATTAGGCAAGATGGTAAATGAACAAATAAGGAGAGAAGAAAAAGGGGAAAAACAGTTGTTGCATACATGATTTGCATTTAGTTACAGTCTATACTGATTGAAGCCATACAATAGTTCCCATTTCCCACACTTGATCTCTCTATCTCACCATTATACCTTACAGATCCTGAACAGCAAAACACTGGTTGAATGGGGGGAGAAGTCTAACAATTTAGCAGTGGCAGTAATAACTTTATGTTGACACAGATGTAAAGCATTCATGCAACTCATGGCCACCATGATTTGTTGACTAAGATAGATATATTTCAAATTAGTTGGAATTAGTTCTAGTTAAAATTCCATAGGATTATTAACATCATCTGTACAGACAAGATGTATCTTACTTATGTCACACATAGGCCCACAATAAACGTACCTTATTGCAGTATATTGGGAATGTAAACTTTTTAGTTAGGCCACCATAATGATCAGAATGGAAGTGGGTAAGGAAATAAGCCGTGCATCCTTCAATCTCTCCATATTGGAATGCATCTACTACAAAACCTGTGCCTGTAACAAATCAGTAAAAGAGCAAGCAGTCATTTCTTACACAGTGCAACTGCCAAAGCCAACTACTACAGCTAGAATAACAGAATCCTCTGCAGCCTTAAAGGCAAACAAACTCATTATGGCATAAGCTTTTGTGAACTACAAGCTAATACATCAAAGTTCACATTTCTGTGTTAATCACAGAAGATTATGCCAGAATATATGTTAAGTCTTTTAAGTTACCTGAGGATACTTTCTTGAGTTTGCTGTAAAACAGTAAGAGTTACTGCTCAGAAAAGTAGTACTACTAACCATGTTTCGATTCCTTAAGTTTAAGTGAAAATAAAAGGAGGGTTAATTAATATACTTACTGGGCTTTCTGGAAATTGTAATTATACATATCTGGAGAGCAAAAAATATGGGAACACTTTCTTTAAAGCTATAATCAATAGGTATGAATAACATATTAAAGAACTTACAGTACAATCTTATGCATGTTGACTCAGAAGCAAGTTTCATTGAATTTAGTGGTATTCGCTCCCAAGTATGTACAAGATTGCAGCCTTATTAAATTTCATTGATGATAGCACAATTTAAATACATTTATTTCCCTACATCCTTAAAAGGTTTTCTGTAATTCTCTTAGCCCTGTTCTGCCAAAAAATATAATAACTGTTCATTACTATTGTTTAATTACATATTTCTTTACAAAATAAGATTTATATTGGCTACTCCTGCCATTAAAAAAATGCTCACATTTCAATAAATAGGTTGCAATCCTACTCTTGCTAACAAGGAATAACCCCTACTGAACGCAATATAATTTACCTGTGAATAATTTTCTATAGGATCATAAAGCTGAAGTTTCATTACATAACTTTTTAATATAGAAAAACCACACGGCTTTAAGTGAGCGAAGTAAGTTTTCAAAATTTATTTCACTTATATATTGAAAGGGTATTTTTACATTCTTTAGGAGAAAATGTAGCAATGCAATGAAGAAAAACCAACAATCCTAAATTATTTTCTTACAAAATAAATAGAGTACTACCTGGTATCTTCTTATAAAAGGGACACTGCTTTTTTCTTTCAGCTTCAGCAGGACATGACTCTCTGTATCTTTTTTTCTGCCTTCTCTGTCCACCAGATGTTCTACCTGCTGGAGTATCATACTTAATGTTTGAATTTTCTGTGATTGCATCAGAGTCTCCTACTGATCCTTCAGCCTTCCTCTTTCGAGATATGAGCTTTTTTCCATTTGCAGCTGACAGATTCATAATCACAGCTTCCTCAAGATTTTTCTTTGGGATATTCTCAGTTTTTACTTTTGGTTGCAACCCAAAGAAAACACCAATGTCCATTTGTTTTAGCTGTTTGGGAGGAGTGGTTTGGACTTTAGTGTTTGTAGCAGGAATGGACTGCTGTGTTTCAGAAACTGTACCAGGAAAAACAGACATAGCTATACTATTACAAGATACTTCGTCTTTTTCTGAACATAAATTGTGCTGAACCACTCTATTTCTGCATGTATGAATAACAGTCTTACCTTTAATATCTAAGTTACTGAGCTTTTCTTCTACCTCACTTTGACCTAGCTGGAATGACTGCAGAGCCCCTTTTTCAGATTTTGAAGAAAGCACTAGATCCTTAACAGCAGAACCTGCAGAGAGCCAATAACTGTCATTAGAGCTGCCCTGCCCACAGTCACCTGCATTAAAATTAGAAGAGTTCATTTTAAGCCAGTCAAGCTCTTCCTCAGCTTTTCTTAAACTGAAATCTCCTGTGGGACATTTCAGCTGATCAAGAAAACTTGCTGAACTGCCAATGTTACTATGCATGCTCTTTTGGGGGAGAGGCTTAGATGTTCCATCCATACTTGCCGGTAAAATTTCAGAGGGTTCATTGATTGTTGTTCCATATTGCATCATTTTAACACTTTTATGCTGAAATTGCATCTGTTGTGGTCTATTAGATAAACTTCCAACAGTTCTACTTTGACTTTCCAAATTTCTGGTATCAAATAGATTTTTTTTACATGTTATCTTTGCTACTGCTACCTTCCTCTCCAATGCTTCCTTGTCTGCCTCGTCTGTTTCTGTAGCATTTTCCTCATCTGTATGAAGTGGAGAGTAAGAAATGTCACTGTCATTCAAATCAGCTTCTGAGACATAGGTATTCTGCTGAAAAGAGCAAAGCTGACTGTCCAGCTTCTCAGTTCTTCCAGTTTCTTGAGAAAAAGGACTAAGGCATTCAACCCGCTTTGTTCCATCTATATACTGTAATGTATGTTCAGGTTCTTTAATATTTCCCAAAGATGAAGCCACGATGTTGGTTATATTGATGGAATCCATAGTCTTTGAACTCTCTTTTGGTAACAGAAGAGACTGTTTTGATTTTTCCAAACTCTGAAAGACCTTCATATCCTGGAATACTCTACAGTTAAATTCATTACATGAAGCAGCACCAGGTCTAATGAAATTATTTTCTGCACTAGATAAGGAGAATGCAGAAGTAGAGTCCTGTGCTCTGCTTGCTGCAAGTTGGAAATGGCTGTAGCGTTTGTAATGAGAAGGAATGACTGAAGAGCACAAGACACCATCAGGACATTCTAACAAAAGAGGAAAAAAGTGTTAGGAAAATGTATTTTGAATACAGCTGTGCACATATGCAGAACCTGAGAAGATTTATTGAAAAATGTAAATATCCTGAAAGTTAAGCTTCAAAACATCATGGCTAATGCAGACAACTTTTTATATCCTCCCTTTATTTCATCAAGTTGAATTTATCTATGAGAAAGTAAACCATTCAGTACAATGCCTGATGGAAACATAATACAATTTGTAGCAAAAATACTTCACTACAGGCATATGTGTATTTTCTGAATTACTTGACCAGATTCACACATCATACTTAGCCATACTTTGCTGAATAAACATCAATAGGTTGTGTTTTTCTTTTAAAATGAAAGTATTCAAATTCAAATAATGACAATTGGAATTGAGTTGTTATATTTTACTGAACACTCTGCAATTGTTTTTAATTTGGTAAGCTATTCTCTGTAAAAAAAAAAAAATTAATTTCATCATAGCCTTTCTTTATTCAACCAGACATTTTGTACAGAATTTTGTTCTCTAAAATTTGGTACATGCTTCTTACTTCATTTGTATTTCCAACTATAATTCCAAAAATCTGGTTTGTTTTTAGAATTAATCCAAAGACTAGCAAGATTTGTTTGAATGTATGGTTGCCATTTTCTTAGCCTTGGTCTCTGGTTAATCGAAAGACTGAACCAGAAATCTAATAGGTTAATATTTTTCAGACACTGAGTTGCATGATGAAAAAGAATATATTGTTTACATTTCTTAAAGGAACATAGCCTGTTTTCAAAAACAAAGTAGAAGGGCCCTTATTTCCCATTAAAACTGTACCTTTCTCAGCAGTTCCTGAGACATCCAAACATTCTGTAACGTGCCACTGAGGTGTCTCGATCAACAATAAAGAGAATGGCATTTGACAACTTGGGCAATACCCCTCAAAAACTGGTCTGGCTTTTGCAGAGTTTTGCCTCTCGCAGATTTTTGTTTCTTTTGCTGAAGTTGTTGACAGACCTTCCTGTGACAGTTTAATAGGATCATCACTGGAAAAAACTGGCTTTAAGGGGGTCTGGTTACCTCTTTTTCTTGGCCTTTGCTTTGTCTTCTTAGGGGCCTCTTTTCCTTTGGGTGTTTTCCCATCATTTCTATTGTCATTTCTTCGTGATTTATCATTTCCAACCTTTGCTTTTTGTATATTGGTAGCAATGACTTCTGAATGTTGGCTTATTGGCTTTTGCTTCCTGATAGATTTATATTCCCAAATGTCTTCCTCCAAAAGACCATCTTCGGACATGACAATCCATTAACGAAGGAGATATCTTCTTTAGGTAAAATAATGCTTCAATGATTTCAGTCGCATTATTTTACTACACTTATAAAATAATAAATATCAACTGCCATTTTAAGCATCACACTATGCCATTCATATAAATGTTATAAATACAAACTGGGGTTTTCAGTTTGAGTGCAATGACAGATTTCAAATATTAAAATAAAGTGCACTTAGATTAGAATCTACAATTCTAGCCATGAGGACAGTTTTTAATTATCTTAATTTTGAGAAACGTGACTAGAGAATCTCAGAACTGTTCTTCTGACTTTTCTTCCTCTGTGATCCTGAAATACAGAATAATAATAATAAAAAAAATTCTTTCAACAGTTCTTTATTTAGAAATTATTCAAAATATTCCAAAAATACTAAGAATCATGTCTCCTGCTGGTCCTCTGAACTGAAAAGCAGAATCCAAATTTCACATAAATTCCAATAAACACTGCATTATTACTTCATTTTATAACATCTTACATTGCAATATGTCTGAACACATTTTAAGGGTTAGCCTCAGAAAAGCAAGAGCGTTTTCTCTCTTCTCTCCTTTTTCCCCATGTTCTCCCAAGACAAGCCATGTCATAAATGTTATACCATCTATCTTTGTCTTCAAGAACTTCCTCATGCTGAAAAGAAAACCAAGGGCTTTTCCCCACATCCCTGATGATGTGCTTTTTTTCTGTCCTCAATACAGGTGGGAAGTAGAAAACAGCTGCCACCCCAGTGGTTCTTCCTTGCCTTGCCTTGAAAACAAGGCCACCAAAGCTGCTGCAGGACAAGAGTTTCCACTGCTGTTGTTGACGAAGTGATAAGCAGGAAGGTGGGGGGGTCCCCTTTTCTGTTGCCTGCCTCCCCCCAATTCTCCAAATGTGAATCCCATGCCTTCTTTCACCACAGTGATTCCCATCCTTGTTTGCTGGACAGCACCGTTGCTGCCACCATGATAGTCACCATGGTGGAAGGTGACGGAAGTTACCAGTGGGAAACATTCTTGTGGAATACCTTTCATGATTTCAGCATTACTGAAGCCCAAGAAAGAAAAGAATGAAAACTTGAGCTGCCAACTAAGTCTCTGTGCTCTCCAGAAGCCAAAGAAAAGGCCACAGAAGTACCAATCACTGTGGCCGGACAGAGCAGGTAGTCCTGCAGCGGACGAGCTGAATGCCTGGAGTGTTGACCTCTCTCTCTCAGGCTTTGCCTCCGTACAAATCAGAAAGTTTGTATGGCAGAGACTTCTGCTATTTCCCACTGGAAAATACCAGTTTCTTGCCCAATATCTTTGATCCAGCTTCAGCCTCCCTCACTGGCAGGCAGGCAGGCAGGCACCAAGAGGGATACTTTGTGTGAGGACATGCCCTCAGTGACTGGTAGCCGTGCCATCTTACAGCCAGGGCAAAGGAGCTGTGCGGCTGTCTAATTTTCTCTCCAGGAGCAAAGTTCTGTGCAAAGTATTCTTATTTGTAACTAAATCGCATTGCATTCAGCAAAGTGTTTAGCCTTATGGTTTACTCCCATACTTGTTTAGTCAGTTTAGTTTTAACCCAAGTAAATGTGGGCAGAACTTCAGCCTTATGGAGTAAGTGGTAGATTTTGTTAATTCATGTATTAAACACGTCCTTGGCCTTTGGACTATACCCGCATTGAAATGAATAGCCTTACCACTCAAGAGACCTACTCGTCCGAAGTCAGTGTTTCTGCACCAGAAAACGGTGCAAGTTACTTCCGCAGGTTTCTTCTACTTAGGAAGCAGGCCCATCCCAATTCCTCACACCTTTGAGAGCATTAGCCGCCGCAGCTACCGCAAACGCTTCATCCCCTTCTTGGCGGCTGTTTTCTTCTTCCTCCTCTACCGTTCCAATGAGTTCCGCGCTTTCACTACAACTGAGTCTGACCTCCCTACCGTTTCGCCAAAACGTTTTAAAAAATACTATCTTAATATCTTTCAGGGCCAGAAAAACATTCCCACGCTTGCTTCGCCAGCAAATTCAAATTTGTTTTTTGCGAATCTGTGAAGGTGAAACAAAAATACCGCCGGGTATCTGTTGTCGAATGTGTGATTTCTCGTGCTTTTTGGACAGCACTGTCACATACAAGGGAATGACACCTTTTTGGTCCAAAGTTTTATTTGGCATGAAAATACAGGGCGACAGTATTTTAACATTTGGGATGCTTTTTTTTTTTTTTTTGGTACGTGACCGGACACAGTTGACTTTCGAAAGTGCCGAAAGTCAAACGGAAGAGCGGTAAACCTAAGCCCTCTTTCTTGTGCTCTCGCGGGCAGGGAGAGAGAAAGATGGCGGCGGCTGACGGCCTGCCCGGTCTTTTGCCTTTGCAAAGCCAGTTGGACTACGCGCTGGAGGATGCGATCACGCTTCAAGAGAAGGAGAACTTGGTGTATCAGCATGTGAAAAAGGTGGACGGCTGGGAGCGGGATTTGAAAGTTCCCGAGTTTGGAGCAGGTGAGCAGAGCTCAACTACCCTAAGGCGGGCGTCGACTCATCCCGGGTCTTCTTGCGTGAGCCGTCAAACTTCTTCCAGTCTTGAGTTTTCTCCTAGTTGCCCACTTACAGCTTTGCTTTCCTCCTTAGCGGGTTTATTATGACTGAAAAAAAGCGTGCTTTGCAGTCAGCATCATAGCCCCTGATCATCCTCATTGCCCTTCCCTGGGACTGCTCCTGATTTCTCTGAATCCTTTTTAAATAATTGTGCATAGTGAGCATCATAAATAAAAGTATTATTTATCACAATTTGGAGACTGTATTTCTGTTGATCCAACCTGAAATTGCATTTGCCTCTTTCTTAATTCAGTCACATCACATCGCTGGCTCATATTTGCTTTGTAATGAACTACCATTGTAATACTTTTACCCAAGGCAGGTATCCCCAAAATTGTACTTTTACATCTGGTATATGTTTCCTTCTTATAGAATGTCACATTTTTCTCTATTAATTTTCATTCTGTTATTTTTAGGCCCATTTTGGCAACCTAACAATATTGTTTTGAATTTCATTTTTTTTTCCTACGGTGCTAGTGCTCTCATGCAATTTGTGTCATAAGCATTCTGTCAATCTCATCATTCAACTCATTAATAAAAACATTGAAAAGTTTGGGAGGCAAGACTGAACCTTGTAGCATTCCACGTGATATCTCTCTCCAGTTAAATGAAAAACCATTGATGAACTTTTTTGTATGATTTTTGAGCCATCTGTGGCCACTTGCTTGTCATATCATCTATCCCACACTTAACTTTAGATATTTTGACAAATGTTTGGATGAAATCAAAATGTATTATATATACATTCCTACAGTACATTAAGGAATTTAAAATGAAAAGTTCACCCTAACTCCTGATGACTACCTTGCAACATCCATGCAGACTTCTTGGCAAGATAATCATGTGGAGAAATATATCCATTCTTCTTCCATCTGTCCCCTTGATTTTTGTACTGATTGAAGAAGTGAAACCAGTTTTTTAGCTATGACCATTTAGTTTGGCAAAAATGTTTCTCTTAACAATATTCTACATTTCTGCTTGCCCTGGACAAAGTTTTCACTCTCTGTGGAAACACAGCAGTTGTGCAGGCTAATAACTTTTGTGCTTATAATACTGACTTTCATAGGTGTTTTTATTCCACAGATGTATCTTATGTTTAAACCACATTCTACTCTGAGTTTCTTATGTTTATGAAAATATGTTGCTATGAAGTCATCAGCAAGTTTTCCATACTATACAATACAAATGGATTTTTTTTCTTTATTAATACTGCATGTATACATAAGTCAAATTAGTTGTTATACCTCTTGCATTCTGGGACAGTCTGAATTTAAATGTTTCAAAGTAAGAGCAAAACTGCCTTTCAGTAATTGAGTATCTATAGAATTACTATAATGCTGTCATGTGCAGTCCCCTTAGTGGAGAAGTGTGTAGAGTTAATAATGTAGAAAGCTGCCACTGAATCTAGCAACATGGTTCAGGTAGTCTTTGCTTAACAACCCTAATTGGGACTGGTAACTATGCCGCTAAGTGAAGCAGTTGCTAAGTGGGAAATTGCATGATCTCAAGTGTGCTTTTTGGCTGGAAAGAGACAAGACTACTCAGTTTCACACCTTCAGCTTTTGTTTCTGTAGGCAATCTGATTTCTGTATGCAATCTCTCCTTTGTCTGACCCTTTCCCTCTGCTGGTGCAACTGCATTGTTCTCAATAAGTAGAGGCAAACAGCTTACTCTCTTGAAATCTCTTTCTCTCTGATTTCTCTGCTCTGGAGGGGAGAAAAAGAGCAAGCAATTTCTGTAGGTGGTCTCTCCTTTGCTAACCACTCCCTGCCTTTTGGAATGCTCAAGTGCCTACTTACTGTCTTGTACACATCGATAGCGATGCAATCGCGCCAGCAGTCTGGGGTTAGGAGCCTTGGAAGCGCTGCACAAATAGCTTACTCTCTTAAAATCTCTTTCTTTCCAATCTCTCCACTCT